GTTTTTTTTTATACCCACTTTTTTTTTTTTTTCAGAATCACTTCAGTACCAAACCTGGGCTAACTCACGTAATAACTTGTATATGCCTTAATTTCAGGATCTTGATTGATCCATGTATTTGTATAAGTCTCTCTTTGTACCAATTACTTTCAACTCAATTAATGAAAACAAGTTACATAGCAGGTTTTCACATGGTATCAGAGCACAGCCTCTTTGATAACCTGATAACCTAAAATCCTTGGCGTTCAAACACACCAAGAAGTTATAGCATTCCGCTCCTTGTTGACATGGCAACCGACTCTTCCAACAAACACACCAAATACGAAGATCCCAGCGATCCTTTTTATCTTCATTACTCCAATTAGCCTGGAGCGATTCTCGTCACACAGCCGTTGAATGACGAAAATTACTCCACTTAGAGCCGAGCCATGGCCATGGCCCTCAATGCCAAGAACAAGGAAGGATTCATCAATGGAACCATTAAAATGCCTAAGTCGGCATCCACAATTGAATCCCAATAGTGGACTCGTTGCAACAACCTTGTGAAATCCTGGCTGCTCAACTTTGTCTCAAAAGATATCGGAGCAAGTATCATCTACAACAATGTTGCAACTGATATTTGGAATGAGCTGAAGGAACATTTCTCTCACATAAACAGTGTACATCTCTTCCATATTGAACAAGAGATACATGGAAGTGTTCAAGGAAATTTGACCATTGGTGCATATTATACCAAATTGAAAAGCTTTTGGGATGAACGTGATGCCCTATGCGCTCTCCCAATCTGTGCATGTGGAGCTGCGAAATAATTGATGCAGCTTCAGCAAAGTCAGAAAACCATGAAGTTTCTCATGGGTCTCAATGAATCCTACGTTGCAGTTCATGGGCAACTTTTACTTATGGATCCCCTCCCTGCTATCAGCAAAGCTTTCTCACTCATTATTCAAGATGAGAAGTAAAGAGCAATTTCAAAACATGCTCCTAGAAGGTCTTCAGTCACCGATGCCGCAGCTTTCGCCGTGCGAGACAACATGCGAAACTCTGGTAGGAAATTTTCTCCTAGAAATCTCCATATAAAATGTGATCGTTGTGATGCAACCGAACACACTTCAGATACCTGTTGTGCACACCTCAAGTACGACTACTGTAATTGGAGAGGTTACACCATTGATCAATGTTGCAAACTGAAAAAGACAAAGGATAACAGCGATAAGGGAGATTATCAAGATCGCAGGGGTTCCAACTCCAAGGCTAATCATGTTAACATCAAGCCAAAGCCTCCAACAACATCTCATTCGTCCTACAACTTCACTTCCGAGCAATATCACAACCTGCTTGCACTCCTTGATAAGAGCCAATCTAACTCCATAGCTAATCATGTCGGTACCACCTTTACTATGAATGATTTCTCAGGTAGAGTTTTTTGTGCTTCTACTCTCAATAAGGGAAGGAACTGGATTTTCGATACCGGCGCCACATACCACATGGTCTGCTTACCAAGTTTAATGACCACAAGCATTCCGATATATAATCGACAAGTGCACCTACCCAATCATGCACTTGCTGATGTCACATATATTGGCACAGTTCATCTCTCGAATGATCTCGTCCTTCACAACGTGCTTTGTGTTCCATCATTTAAACTGAATTTAAATTCTGTCAGCAAAGCCACTAATACCTCATCTTGCTTTGTCATCTTCACTGATAAAATGTGTCTGCTTTAGGACCAACAATCGGGGAAGATGATTGGGACGGGAACTGAACGAGAATGACTCGACTACCTTGATAATGTGACGATAACCAGGTGCAATTCAGCGTCAGTTGTTGCTCATTCTTCTTCTCAGCTTTGGCATCAATGCCTTAGCCATCTTTCCAACAAAACCTTATGCGCTATCTCTCCTTGCATTAAAATTTTGAATTTTTACAGCATTGATGATTGTTTGATCTGTCCATTAGCCAAACAAACACGTGCTCATTTTCCTTTGAGTTCTATTAATACAAAAGCTCATTTTGAGTTAATTCATGTTGACATTTGGGGAGGTTACCATGTTCCCACTCTCACAGGGGCACAATATTTCTGAACTATTGTGGATGATTTCTCACAGTGCATATGGGTTTATTTAATGAATCACAAATCAAATGCACGATCTTGTCTCATCACATTCATCAACCTTGTTGAAACATAATTTTCCACACGAGTTAAGGTTCTTCGTAGTGATAACGGTCTAGAATTTTTTATGACACAATTTTTTTTTTTTCAGATAAGGAAATTCTACATCAAACAAGTTGTGTCTTTACTCCCTAACAAAACGGGGTAGCAGAGCGCAAACACCGCCACTTACTCAATGTTGCTAGAGCCTTACTTTTTCAATCTCATCTTCCCAAGAAATTTTGGGGTGATGCAATCCTCACTGCCACTTATCTCATAAATAGGACTCCTACACTTCTTCTTTATGGCAAATCACCATATGAAATACTTCATCACAAACAGCCAGCTTATGTACATTTGCGAATGTTTGGTTGTTTATGTTTCTCTTCCACACACCACTATTGTCCTACCAAATTTGATGCAAGAGCCACACGTTGTCTTTTTCTTGGCTATCTATACGGCACAAAGGGATATCGAGTTTACAACTTTTAAATGGGTAAAATCTTTATTTCACGTGATGTTATTTTCCATGAAAATGTGTTTCCTTTTTCATCTTTCGTTGCAGTTTCACCTGTTGTGTTTCCTCATACTCAAGATACTGATTGTGATGACACCATCATTCATCCATACATTCCACTAGAGCAGGATTCAGTGGACCCTTCATCTTCTTCGCCGGTGAGTCCTATTTCAGTTCCCTCTCCTTTTATTTCCACATCACCACCCTGCCTTAAACAACCCACTCATGCACCTGGTTATTTTCAACAATATCACATTGACATCAACCTTCATTCTCGGTCTGTCATTTCATCTCACTTGGCGTTGACCAAAGTGACAGATACTTCTTACCCTTTGTCTGATGTACTCACATATGATAGTTTATCTGCTCAACATTGTGCTTTCACCACTTCCATTTCAGCTGCCATAGAACCCAGCTCATTCTCACAGGCTATACACGACCCCCAATGACGTTTAGCTATAGAACAAGAACTAATAGCCCTTGCTGTGAATAGGACATGGTATCTTCAACCGTTGGCCCCTGGAAAGAAACCGGTTAGATGTAAATGGGTCTACAAAATCAAATTTTGATTTGATGGATCCATTGAGCGATATAAAGCACGCTTGGTTACCAAAGGTTATAGCCAAATTGAAGGCTTAGACTATCGCATGACTTTTGCTCTGGTTGCAAAACTGACTACAGTCTGCTTTCTCCTTACTGTTGCCTCAGTCCAACAATGGCACCTCCACCAACTTGATGTTATCAACGCCTTTCTCTATGGTGATATTGAAGAAGATGTCTACATGTCCTTGACTTCTGGTTTCGGACGAAAGGGGGAGACACGAGTTTGTAAACTTCATAAATCTTTGTATGGGCTTAAGCAAGCCTCTCGTAAATGGTTTATCAAACTTTCTTGTGCTCTTAGAAATGCCGGTTATCAACAATCTAAGACAAACTATTCATTGTTCGTCCGAAACCATGATGGTAAATTCACTGCCCTTCTTGTCTATGTTGATGATATTATCTTGGCAAGGAATAACATACAAGAAATTAAGGATACCAAGTCTTTTCTTATGAAGCAATTTTGCCACTACCTCTTCAAACTAGCTTCACCCCTCAACTTATCAGTTGAGCGATTCTTCCCTACGAAAGAGAGCATAATGTAACTTAGGGAGGCAAATTTCATTGAAAGGAATCAGCAAAGAAAAGAAAAACGGGTTAAAGACCTTGGCCACTTAAAATATTTTTTGGGCATCGAAATTGCTCGCTCTAGCAAGGGGATCACTCTCTCACAGCGAAAATATGCCCTTGAAATACTTGAGGATGCCGGTTACCTTGGCGTAAAACCAGCCACCTCTCATATGGAGTAAAACTTATCACTCAGAAAGGACGAAGGACAATGCATTATTGATCCTTCTTCTTATCGACGGCTTGTTGGGAGACTCATCTAGCTGACGACCACGCACCCTGATTTGGTCTATGCTGTCTACATTCTTAGTCAATTTATGGAGAAGCCTCGAACTCTACAGTTGGAGGCAGCCCACCGAGTCTTACGATACGTTAAGCATACACTAGGGCAAGGTATTTTTCTTTCCGCAAGAAGTCCAATTCAACTGAATGCTTTTTGTGATGCGGATTGGGCCAGATGTCGTGACACACACGTCGTTCTACCACCAGATACTGTGTATTTCTTGGAGAATCCTTGATCTCTTGGAAAAGCAAGAAACAAAACACCGTGTCATGCTCTAGTGCAGAGGCGAAGTATCGTTCAATGGCAGCAACTTGTTGTGAAGTCACTTGGCTGAAATACGTTTTACAAGACTTGGGTATCAAACATAAACATCCAGTCAAGTTATATTGCGATAATCAAGCCGCACTTCATATCGCTTCAAATCCGGTTTTTCACGAAAGAACCAAACACATAGAAATTGACTACCACCTTATACGAGAAAGGGTTCAAAGTGGAATGATCAAGACATCTCACATTTCAACCATGAAGCAACCAGCCGATTTCTATGTGAGATGTCCAAGGTAAAAGTGAGATGTCCTGATGATGGGCACAAGGAAGGCCAAGGTAAAAGTGGCCATGAAGCAACCAGCCGACATCTTCACAAATTTCTATGTGAGATGTCCAAGGTAAAAGTGAGATGTCAAACTGAGCTTACATAAGTTTACGACTTTGCATTGCAAGTTAGGAATAATAAACATCCATTCTAACTTGAGGAGGAATGTTGAGTAAACCAAAGTCTGTCATCAGTCCCTTGATTTAAGGAGTTCATTTCCTTGATTACTGTACAGTCATCTCAGATTGCATTTAATCTACTTAGGAGTCTAACTCACGTAATAGCTTGTATAGGCCTTAATTTCAGGATCTTGATTTATCCATGTATTTGTATAAGTCTCTCTTTGTACCAATTACTTTCAACTCAATTAATGAAAACAAGTTACATAGTAGGTTTTCACACAAACAACAAAATCTCCCCAAAGCAATTTTATTCTAAAGCCATATATGCTATAGTCAAATATAGGGGCTGATAGCTTAGTTGGTCTTCCTACAATTCTTCCTAATCTCCCCACTGGATCCAGTGAGAGGTTTGATGTCTCCCATCTTGATCATAGCACTCGCAAAGTCAGAACTGAAGGCGTTGTAGCTGTTGCTGTAGGCTCTCACTATCGAATCGGTGGAACCACCATTGAAGAGCTGCTGGTCAGAGTGGAGGAGACCTTTATTCTGGATTAGGTTTTTGAAGTAGTTGTTGTCGAAAGAAGTAGGGGTTTGAAGGTCAAGTGGAGCCAAATTGTTATCTCCTGAGCCAGAGGTTCTTGGACAGTTGGATCGCCTTGTTTGAGCCAAGGAACTATCCAGATTGGTCTCGTTGTATATGCGGGGTCTGAATGATGTGCACCTTGCTTGCCCAATTGTATGGGATCCTGCTCAATTTTCACAAACCCCAAATTGGTTGAGAAATGAATATATACTTGACGACTAGTGATAGCGATTTTCACACGCCTTTTTAACTTTTTAAATTCTTCCTATAAGTACATAAAGAATTATAAAATACTCAATTTTGAGTGCATATGGCTAAAATAGGAGTGTCAAAGTTGTTACCATTAATTATCAAGTGATTGTTGTGGACACCAAAATTAACTCTACTGACAATTTTTTGGTGTCCAGAAAAACAAAAGTTTTGTATGTCTACATGCAGAAATTAGAATCACCGGAGAGAATGTTCATCGGAAAATAGTATACCGGATAAAGCAACCAAGTCTCTGGTGGAAAGACCAACAGCACTGAATGTAGAGATGAGCTGGTTTAGGTTTCGGGTTGGAGGGGGGATGTTGTTGTTAGCAGCGGCTTGGCTTGCAGTCCTTGCGTCTCTTCTTCCCAACTTAACGTTCCAACTTGGCCCTCCAAGCTGCATTATCCGTTTGTGTCAAACAAGGACGTAGTTAGTTAAATCGGTTAACCTGCTGAAACGTGAAATTTAGGATTGATTGAATGTAATAAGTCGGTAATTATCATAAAAACTGACTTACAGTGACAACGGAGTCTCTGGCAGCAATGGCTAATATATCAGCACATGACACCACGCCGGGGCACACGTTTTCCACTGCGGACTTTATGTTGTCAACCACGTCAAATCCCCGTGCAGAATTCCGATTAGGAGCTGCATTTTTCTCTCCGGTAAAGCTCGATGTGTCGTCAAGGAGCAGCGACCCGTCACATCCCTGCAGTTAGGGAAGGTCATTTTAGAGTACACATTTAATAACCAATGTATCTGAATATTGTACGTTCAAAACATGATATATAATGCTTGTACTTTAAACCTAGACAATTTTGTTGACCTTTTGGCTCATGAGTCATATTGTCACGTTTAAAATATATATGTAACTATAACTTTGAAAGCTACCAAATAACTATTTTTATAAAATAAACATTGATTTGAATGTACATACATTAACAAAACAGTCATGGAAGTGGAGCCGAAGAAGAGAGGCACCCATTCGGGCCTCTTTTTGTATAGCGGATTGCACGGTGGATTTCACGGTTGAGAAGAGCCTAGGGCAAGAACTAGAGTAGAAATTTGTTGAAAGTTGAGCACTGGTGGTGCTCATGAGCACAAGGAAGGCCAAGGTAAAAGTGGCCATGAAAGAAGAGGAAGCCATTGACGCTCAATGCAGTGTATTTTAAGTGAAGTGGAGAATGTAAAGCTAGCTTGTGTTGAAAACAAGGACACTATGATGGTATTTATATAGAGGCCCTCTCAAGGTGACTTGGGTAGGCAGGTTACCTAACACGTAGAAATTTTTGTGCATGGCTTTTGATTATTCGAAGCCGAAAAAGTAGTAGACAGAACTTTAAAAGCACCGTTGCAGGAAAGTGATTTTGACAAAGTAAAGCCCATTAGCAAGAAACGCGGTTTTTCTTTTTGGGGCGGCAGCGATCTGCGAAGTGGTGAGTTTTAGACACTTCAATTTAGATTAATGCGAGTTTGTATGATTATTGATTACTTACATGCATGCCTCTAAAGTTAAGGATGTGTTTGGTAATAATTTCAGCTTTTAATTTAATTTTAATTTTAATTTTCATCTTTCATAATAAAAAAACTGAAAACCAAAATAGGTTGTCAAATAACTTTTTACCAAATATAATATCCCCAATTCACTGGTAGATTTGAGTTTAAGCAAGATGGCTAGAAGTTAGAGCAATGTGTTCTATCCTTTGTGTTCGAGTTCAAATCTTTTCTCTGTATATTAGATAAATCTTAGTGTAATTATTTTATTATTTATAGAAAAAATATTTATTTTTAGAGGTAACTGGAGCAATAGTTTCTGAACTTCAGCTCAATTGGAACTTTGATTCCTGAACTAAAAATAAGTGAATATTGGTCCCTGGACTTGTTATAATGTGGAATAATGGTCATTTTGACTAACTCCGTTAGAACTTCCATTCAAAATAAAGGGTTTAAAGAGACAAAAATAAATGGAAGTTCTAACAAAGTTAGTCAAAAGACCATTGCTCCATAATATTATAACAAGTTTATGAACCAATACTCATATATTTTTAGCTTAAGGATCAAAGCTCCAATTGAACCAAAATTCAAAGATCATTGCTTCAATTTATTTATTTTTATTTTTATTTTTTGCAATCAAATAAACTATTCGATATTTTCTTACAAGAGATGCATGCTTCTTCATTTTCATTTTGGAAGCAAGATTCCGGATTATCTTTTGTTCTATGCATGGCTGGCTAGACAGAGGCCTTACTTCTATTGGTGTCCAAGCGCATGTACTGATTTGTCGACTTCCTTTTCATTTCGTTTTTAATCTCTTCCAGTAACTCATCATAATCGTACTGGTCAAAAGTGTATAGCTAGACTACTTTTGTCTAGAATTTTTTAATTGCCTTCAACGTCTCGCTTCCAAACAGAGTCAAAATTTTATAAATATATGGACCCCAAAACATCTTTTGGCAGGTAAGCTACTACTGAAAATTTGAGCATGAATTCATCATTTTCATTCGATCTTTTTCGTGTGTTTATACTTTGTACGCGACAGAAACGTATGTTTTTACTTCCCTTTTGTACAAATGGTACTATATTTCTACTTTAGGTTAATTAATTAAGATTGTAATAAAATAAATCAGAACTTAGATATATAAAGAAGAGGACATATGTTCTAGACACACACAGATATATATATTTTATTAGTCATTGCGATCATATAATGAATTAATTTTACCAATTTGACTACAAATTGCACATATTGCACCATTGTCATTCCTAAAATTGAGTACTCAACCGCGTAATAATGTTCGAGCGAATCGGAATGTGAATAATCTTAACATTCTTGTATGAGCTGAAGGATCTGTGAGAAAAATAAACCCTAGTAATCTTGTAGAGGAAGAAAGAAAGCTCAATTGTATTTCTCTAATCTTCAGTTTTTACATACATCGACTTAACAGAAAAGGAAAAGAATATAAAGCCTATTTATACCACATATCAAAAGTAGCTTATCTCTAAAGCTAGTGCTAACGTGGCAATTGCCTTATGTGGCACATGTATATCCAATACCCCCCCTCAATCTTAGCTGGGATACCCCAGATTAAGATTGTTACAATGTCGAAGAAAATCGGGGCCATGTAAAGCCTTGGTAAGAATATCTGCGATTTGGTCTTGGGTAGGCACATACTGCACATCCATATCTCCTTTTTGAACACGCTCTCGGACAAAGTGAAAATCTGTTTCTAAATGCTTGATCCGTGAGTGATGAATAGGATTCAAGCTCAATGCAATGGCAGATTGATTATCACACAGCAAAAGAGGTGGATTGGAAACAATAGCACACAACTCACACAATATCAACCGAATCCATGCAATATCAGCAGCAGCATGTGCAAGAGCTTTATATTCTGCTTCGGTGGAACTGCGAGAAACAGAACTTTGTTTCTTGGATTGCCAGGAGATGGGATTGGCACCAAGATAGACCACATAACCTGTGATAGACCGTCTGGTATTAACATCAGCAGCCCAATCAGAGTCACTATAACCTCTGATATCAATCCCACTACCAGAAGTAAAAGTCAATCCACATTTCATTGTGCCTTGTAAAAACGAATAATTCGCTTTACCAAACCAAGATGAACATCAGTAGGAGCATGCATAAATTGACACACAGTATTAACCGCAAAAGCAATATCGGGCCTTGTAAAAGTTAGATATTGCAAGGAACCAACAAGGCTTCTGTACAAAGTAGGGTCTGTCAACAATTCCCCTTCAGCAACCAAAACAGAACTATGAGGCTTGCAAGGAGTAGCACATGATTTACAATTATCCATGCCTGCTTTATGAATCAAGTCCTTAATATACTTCTCCTGATGAACAAACATATCACCATTGGACTTGTATTGGATTTGCAAACCCAAAAAATATGTTAATTGACCCATGTCCGTGAGAGAAAAAACACCAGCAAGATCATCAACAATAGATTGAATTAAAGTAGTATTGGAGCCAGTAAGGATTATATCATCGACATAGAGAAGTAGTATAACCACATCAGTACCCACTTGTTTAACAAAAAGACTGGAATCTGAGGAAGAAGTATGAAAACCCACGGCTGCCAGATAACCTGTAAATTTAGCATTCCATGCTCGGGGAGCTTGCTTAAGCCCATACAAGGACTTAACCAACTTACACACATGTGTTGGGCACTGAAGATTGACAAACCCTGGAGGTTGCTTCATGTATACCTCCTCATTTAACTCTCCATGTAAAAAGGCGTTTTTCACATCAAGTTGTCGGAGAGACCATTTATAAGTTGTAGCCAATGCAAGAATCATCCGTACAGTTGTGTGCCGAACCACAGGACTAAAGGTCTCTGTATAATCCAAGCCTTTTTCTTGACTAAAACCCTGAGCAACAAGTCGAGCTTTATACCGAGAAATAATCCCATCAGGATTCCTCTTAATTTTATACACCCACTTACATCCAATGATGTTTTTATCAGAAGGAGAAGGAACTAGAAGCCATGTACCTTGGGTTTGAAGTGCATCATATTCATCTTGCATCGCAGATTGCCATTGAGGCAATTGAGAAGCAAGTTTAAAAGTTGCAGGTTCAGCAGAATCTGTAATATCGGCAATGAAGGTGAATCCACCAGAAAAATGAGTGTCTTCATGTAAGGTTAGTGAGTGAACTTCAGGAAATGTTGCTGAAAGGGCAGAATAATCCCTTCTTGTTATAGCACCAGTTTTGAGTCTCGTTTGAATTCCCTGAGGAATAGAAGAACTAGACTGAGACAAATCAGCCTCCAGTTGAAGGGAATCAGGCACAGGTAACATAGAAGAAGACTGAGAAGCAACTGAACTGGAGCGGATAGGATGATTTTGAGCACCAGCAACAATATGAGGAGAAGATGTTGACTCCAAGCCATGTGGACTTAATGAAAATGACAGAAAGACATTATGTGGTTGAACTACAATAGGGCGTGAAAGATTAGAAGTGGAAGACACACCAGTATCAGAACACCTTGTATCAGAAAGAGTGGTGGCAAAAGGAAAGCAATTCTCATCATGTAGAACATGTCGAGAAAGAAAGAACTTGTGTGTCAACCTGTTAAAGCAAATAGCTCCTTTATAACCAGAAAAGTAACCTAGAAAAACACATTGAGTGGATCTTGGTTGGAGCTTGTGATCATTGTATGGCCGGAGATAAGGATAAATGGCTGAGCCAAAGACTTTTAAAGATGAAATCTCTGGTAAAGTGTGAAACAACCTCTGAAAAGGTGAAACCATACCAATAGTCTTGCTAGGCATTCGATTTATTAAAAACACCGCATGTGCCACAGCATGATACCAAAACTTATGGGGAAGACTAGCAGCTGTCAACAAAGTAATAGCAGTTTCTATGATGTGTCAATGCTTTCTTTCCACTAAACCATTCTGCTGTGGTGTATATGGACAAGAAAGAAAATGAACAATACCATGATTAGCAAGATAATCCTTAAATGCAGTGCTCAGAAATTCTCCTCCTCCATCAGATTGTAACACCTTAATCTTTGTGTTAAATTGATTCTCAACATAGGCAAAAAACTTGACAAATGTACCAAAAACCTCTGATTTATTCATTAATGGAAAGAGCCATACAAACCGAGTTGCTTCATCTACAAATGACACATAATATCTGAAGCCTTCTATAGATGCTATTGGTGAAGGACCCCAAACGTCACTGTGAATCTTATGAAAAGGAATCTCAACTCTATCTAGTCGTTCAACAAATGGTAATCTACTCATTTTACCACTAAAACAATGAGAACAAGGTTGATCCGGTACATCATGACTAAAAGAAATATTTGAACTCCTAAGCATAGCTGTCAAGACATCATTAGAAGGATGTCCAAGTCTGTGATGCCACAAAGATGACTTAACTGCCTTGCCAACAAATGCAGAACAAGAAGAAGCGTCTGGAGGCAACACCTTGGGAAATAGATGGACAGGAATGCGAAAAAGCTCACGATTGTTACTCTTTCCTTGGTAAAGAATCAGCCCTGTTGCTTTGTCCTGCACATAGAACTGAGTATCATCACAAATAAACCAACTGTGATTGTCTTGACATAACTGCTGAACAGACAACAAATTGACTGTTAACATCGGCACATGCAAGACATTTCGAAGACATAAAGTATGTGAAGATGTAGGTAATAAGGCAGTGCCAATGTGATTAACAGTTAAAC